TATTGAGCCACATATCCCCATAACTTAAGTAGCAATGACTTCACCGAGCATCTTTCTATAATAACAATTATACTATTAGAGAGAAAATAAGTCACCCAAATACCCTCAACTTATGTATCACTGGCTCTCCCAAACTTCAGGAACGTTTAAACTAATGTTAACTCATATTTAGAATGTTTTTCTGCTATCAGTCTTCATCACCAGCCCCCCCCCTAACTTCAATAATTTATTCATCCAAGCATCGATCTGCCTATTAAATAAACCATCCAACTAGGGCTGCTTAAAGAAGTCGGTACCCTTAATTCACCTTTCTTTACTATATGAATTTATCTTTCTTTATTATCAGGACATGTACCAAACAGTCCCTTTTAAAGTAGCTGTAATTAAACCCCTTCTTTAAAAAGCCCACTCTTGACCCAGGGGTTTTAGCCCAACTATAGAACCGATTTCTAACCTCCCCTTTCTCTCTAAGATTCTGGAGAAAGTAGTCCCGCCAAAAGAGTTGTTGTGACTTTCTACATAGAAATAGTTTAATTGAGGATTTTCAGTCAGGATTTAGAGTACATCACAGCACAGGAGACAGCTCTGGTTTAAAGTTATAATGACCCTTTTGATTCTTCTGACATGGACTTGTATTAATTAGATCTTAGTGCTGCATTTGACACCATTGATCCATAAATTCTTTTACAGAGACTTGAAGCATCAAATCTGGCATTAAAGGAACTGCACACTAAGTCGGTTTAGGTCCCAAAAAAAAAAAAAAATAAAAAAAAAAAAAAAAAAAATAAAAAAAAAATTTATCAGATCGTTCACAGTTTGTACATTTGATACGTTGAATCTTCAATAAATACTACAGTTAGTCACGGAGTTCCAACAAGGGTTCTGTAATTGGACCAATACTAATTTACTTTATATATGCTCCCTTTAGGCAACTGTTAATTAGATATCAACTCCATTTAACCTTCACTGTTATGCAGATGATACGCAGTTATATCCTATTGATCAAGCCCGATGAAAAAATTATCAATTATCTAAATTACCAAAACTGTTTAAGGACCCAAATCCCATGATGAGCTGCAACGAAATTCTTGTACTTGGCCCCCAAAAAACTTAGAGACTCCACTGTCTACAGATATAGGCTACTCTAGATGGCATTACCTTTGGCTGAGATGCAGGGCTACTTGTGTTTCAATATAGTCTCTAAAAGAGAACAGGAGCCAGAAGCCTTCAGTTACCAAGCTCCTCTCCTGTGGAACCAGCTTCCATTGTGGTTCGGAGGCAGACACCCTTCTCCACATTTAAGAGCTAGGCTTAAACGTTTCCTCCTTTGATTATAAGCTTATAGTTAGGCTGAACCATCCCTTAGTCATGCTGCTATAGGCCTAGACTATCGGGGGATTTCCCATGGTGCACTGAGCTCCTGTCTCCCTCCTTCCCTCTCTTTCTGCACTCATCTCATGTCCCATTAATGCATGTTACTAACTTCCACTTCTTCTTCTTGTGTTCTTGTGCTTTCTAAGTCTCCCGCAGGTTCTTTATGGTCCTGGGAAGCCTCCACTGCCATGGTCTGCTTGACTGCCATTGCTAATATCAAATGATATTATTGTCGTTATAATTATTAGTTATTATTAAGTATTATTAAATTGCGACCCAGTTACTGTTGTTGCTGTTGGTCGCTGCACGCTGTCCCCCATCGTTGCTGCTGTCCGTCCGTCGTCATCATCCTTCTTCCAGTGTTCATTAGTGTATTGGTGTAGTTGTTGCGTCCTGTCTGTCTTCTGTCCCTCTTTCTCTCCCTCTCTACCCAAACTGGTCAAGGCGGTGACCCCACCCACCCTAGAGCCGAATGATCCTGTCCTAGGTTTCTGCCTTTTAAATAATTTCCCCCCTGGGATTATTAAAGTAATTCCCTGATTCTGATTCTTGATTCTGATTAACCAGGCAGTTTTTCCCTTGCCCCCCCGCTAAGTGGGGGGGGCCTTGCTCATGGTGACCTGATGTGGTCCTCGTGATAATTTTAAAAGGAGTTACGGTCTAGACCTGCTCTATTTGAAAATGTCCTGAGATAAACTTCTTTTGAATTAGGCCGCTATACAATAAAATTTAATTGAAAATTGAAATTAAGAATGTAATATTAAACACCCAGAGCTAAGCTCATTTACAGATGGGACATGGGTCAAAACAAAAAAATCCCAAAAATATAAATAAAAATAAACTTTTTCCCTAAAGATGGTTTCCCGTCCATTTAGGTAGTATCGCATCACACCAACACTGTCGTATGTTAACAGTGTTGGTGTTTTTCTAGTAATTTTGGTTTAATTTAGCTATTTAAATTCTAAAAAGCTTAAAAGGGGTTTAAAAAGAAATAAAAGCCTAAACCTGTATATTTCTATGGGACTGATAGCTGCTACGCCCAACCCAAGTCAGTACTGCTCCGCCTCCAAGTGGGCCGAAAGATGGTAGTGGCCATCCCCACCGGATAATTTTCGGCATAATTTTTGTTACCCCAGTGGGAAGTAATTGAAGACAGCAAGCATTGATCGTTATATGTTGACGGTGAGAGGTCTTCTGACTGACTCCGATAAAAAGTTAGCCAGCCCTTTTCTGAGACACAGACTCTCCAAAATCATACAGCTAAGAAAATGTTTCAGCCATCCTTGTTGGATATAAGACTACTATACCCATTATTTAAGCGATCTTTAAGTATTCTGAGATAACTGCAACAATTAAGCAAGGGCTTGTGAAGGTCAGTCTGCCCACCAATCCTGCATTCACCCTAGTACGAAGGAACCTCAAACAGCCCACACTGGGTATTTAAATTATTGGCGTCACCACCTGACAGAAAATTTCTCAGTCAACCAGAAGGCAAAAAGGCCATGAGCCCCTGGCAATTCCATTCAGGTACTACATAAGGCAGACATAAATTTCCCAACCGTATTATGGTGAAATGGATTCCTGTTTCAGGAGCGCTCATTGTAAACACCTGTCGGAATTATATTAAGAGGTAGAAGGGACAAAGCATACAAACCCCACCACACCATGTACTCAACAGGTAGTTGGCTAGGTTGTGCCTCCTGTAAATGTGTGCGTTTAAAAGCCATGTGGCCACCTGGTATCAAAGTAGTCATTGCCTATTCCACAGGATAAAACATTGTGGATCTGGAAGAAGAACATAATAACATGTACCATGATTGTCATTAGCACAAAACCCATTTTTTATGAGTTCCTTAAACTTGCAACCAGCCATCTGATGTCAGTGCAAATGTGTGGATATTTGCATGTCCCATACATTTGCATGACAACCTTTGTTCCAATTGGGATTTTTTATTTAAGCACCAATATCCTACAGGTGTGTCGAATATTATGAAAATAAAATATAATTATTTCTGCGCTAGAAATGTAATCAAAAACGCATTTTTATGGCAGAAACTAAACTCAATAATATTGATTTTTTTCCACTAAAAATAGAGAAAATGTCCGCCATGTTTTTTGTTCTCGCGAACCGGCCCCGAATCTTGTAAGCTCATGTGACTTGGACGGCGAAACCAATATGAAAAGAATAGGCAGAAAAAATGTAACAGTCATATAATTAAGGGCCATTATTGTAACTATATATATATATAGTAGTATAGTACTATAATAACTATACAAAATGTTGTGATTTGGTTTCTCCTGGCATTTTTAGATCCAAGGCCTCTCTGTGAACTGTAGATGAAACTAACTAATCGAAACACATCAGTCAGGCGCACTCCAGTACGTTATTTGTACGTGATTCTGATGACGTTCAAAATTCTATATGAGGCAGGAAGTGAAAAGGAAGTGAAAGGCAGAATGGGACTGGACGAGTTGGTAAGATGATAGCCAGTACTGTGCTAGTTATTGTTTGTACTCTGTGTGAAATCTTCATTTTAAAAGTGTTAGATTTATACTTTTGTTTTTAATTATGCCTATGTTACAATTATAAAAGATAATTACACAGGTCCTAAGAAGCCCATAACTTACACATTTCATTTAAATAATACTAGGACAAAATAGGGTTGAGTCAGTGTATATCCCAGACATCAAAGCGAAGTTGAGCTTTGACCTTCATCTTCATTGTTGTATCCCATTAAATATCTGGGTGATATTTTTCACAATTACCACATGAATTCTTGAGTTATGAAGAGTTTGTCAAGGTAATTTAAGGGTGACATTGAGCTTTTAACCTTTGGGACAAAAATGTCACCAATTCATTGTTCAACTAATTGTGAAATATTTATACAATGCTCGAGTCATGCCACAGTGACCTTGACTTTTGACCAACATATTCAAATAATTTCATCCTGGAATCCAAGTGGCTGTTTATGCCAAATTTGAAGAAATTCCCTAAAGCGATCTTGAGATATGTTTACAAGAATGGAATGGACAGACAACCCGAAAACATGATGACTCAGGCCAGGGCAATCGCTTGTGCAGAACATAAAAAGCATAATAAACCTGTATCACTGTACCATGGCCTGTATCATGAAGTGAGATTGGTGGGTTTACAGTTATCTTTAGGCTGTCACTATCACATTTCTGTATCACAAAGCAGGTTTTATTTTAACCAGCATAAATCACAATGGTAGCTTATGCTGCATACTGTAGCTAGCCTGCTCCCGAATCGTGAAAATGGTCTCCAGATCCCATTATCCAGGACCATTGTTAGGCTTCGTGAAGTCAGATACTGCACCCAGAGACAGCTTTAATTTGAATTGGCTTAATGATAAACACCCCAGGTTAGTAGATAAAATGTCACACAAACTGTTGCTATTATTAACAAATGCCTAGAAGAGGAACAAATAAAAAGAGACCATATAATCTTACAGCAGCTCAGCTGGACCGCAGACAGAGCCTGAGGGTGAACACTGTCAGACTAAAAGCTCTAACCCATTACTTTTTGTCCATAAATGGTGCTGTTTTCTCTTTACTGACAGGCTCCACAGGATACTTCCTACTTTCAGTGAGACAGGCTTTACTGACATTATCAGCCAAAGCAGCAGTAAACCACTACCCAGAGCAATGAGACTGAATAGCCGTTTAAAGGCAGCAAGCAAACCAAAGTAATCAGAAATGATCGGTCTCAGCTCCCAGTATAGCTTTTGGTTCATTTGATAAAGGTTTTCGCCAAAGCTGTCACAACACATTCATATAACAATGTACAATGAATGGATGGCTAATGGCTATCTGCACAGCATCCATCAACCCATTCTTCACCCATATATGATTGATTTCAGGCTCATTGATTATAGTTAACTTTCTTGTTTGGCAGCAGCAGCGACACAAACGTGGATTGACAACACTTGACTTGACAATCCCTGACTACTGTATCTACCACCAGATCAGCTGCCTTTATTGACAGAAAGCACATGATTTGATAGAGAATGTTTTGTGAGAGGAGGTACTCAGTCATCATGATGCTGAACTCATCTCACACTCATGAATATGCTGTATGTGCAAATAAAGTAAACTAAACTAATCCAACCTCATATATTACATCAGATATTTGTTGCTGTCACCATTTAAATTGTTGTCACTATGCTCATACTTGACTGACCAACTGCCATTATGCGAAGATGCTGCTTTGAACCTCTCTAGTAATACACAATACGATGACAATATGTCTGATCCACTGCAGCATCTAACAGCAATACTTACTGTCAACATGTCGTCACACTTCATGTCTGGCAGCTCTCCATCTTCACCCTTGTTGTAAAACTTCCTGAAGAAGTTGAAGGCCACTACTGTGTAGAGGTACACTACCACTGCTAACAGGCCAACTGTTAACACCAGCTGGAAGAGAGGATAAAAGACAAAGCTGTCAACAGTCTGGATACAGAGGAAACATAACCAGTACAAAACCCATAACTCTAGTGGAAAAATAATAATAATAATAATACAGTCCACATTTTTGTAGACTTTCGAAAAATGTGAGATGGTTGGTAATAATACTGTATGAAAGGTTTTTGGTTGATCTATCGGGTCAGTGTACGGTAGTTGTAGGTAGGTGTTTCGAGTACTAGTACTGAAATATGTGTGCACTGTGCAGTTGTATTCATGTTAACTATGCTGTAGCTGAGTATGTAGTAGCAGTTGTTTACCTGTTTGCCATTGTGTGTGACTGAGGACAAAATGGTACGCAGTGTCTTGAAGCCCATGGCAATGTCAAGCAGATGGGCAGCAAAGAAGAAGTTGTTATAGTGACCAAGGATGGACATGGTCATATACCATGCCAAATACAGGAAGGACTGCAGTGAGGTAGAGACAGGAAGAGAGGTTAGTCAAGGTATTGACTATTACAGATGAATTCGTGGCTACATTTACATGGCTTATACATAAATCTTGCTAGCTTAAAATGTCGGCAAAAAAGTCCAATTAAGCCACAATTGAACTTTTGATCAATGATTAATTTAATTTTAATTAACAAAAAACTCTGGGATTACTGTGGACAACATTTAAATTCCATTCAATTTAAAAACCATGTGGTGAAGGATCTTGAGCTTCTATGTACTTACATTGTCTGTGAATACAACCCCCAGCTTCCAGATCTGGTACTTGACATCAATGGAGTTTAGCCTGACAACAGAGGGAGAATAGTCTCACAGAGAATGATCATGTGTGATACCATATGACCAGGGGACTTTTTTTTTTTTAATTATATTTTTTGGGCTTTTACTGCCTTTATTATAGTGACAGCTGAAGACAGACAGGATGGGGCAGAGAGAGAGGGGATGACACGCAGCAAAGGGCCGCAGGTCGGATTCGGACCTGGGGCCTCAACAAGCAAGGAACTCAGCCTCGGTAACAATGGGTCAGCCAGTTTACCACTGCGAGGCTATCCGGCCCCCGACCAGGGGATTTTTTGCCCTAAGTTTGAAAAAATAAATTGCCCTGACTAGTAAAACTGAATTACCAATCAAATGCCCATGTTCGATTGGTGCTATTCAAATTTGAAATCAAATACAGTATCAGTTCCTATATCTAGGAATTCCGATGATTTTAATTTTCACACCTTGTTTTTGGATATTTAACCGTTCAGCTGTTTTGTGTTTGAGGTGATGCATGGAGGCTTTTGAATGTGATCATGAGGATCTTGAATTGAATTGTAAGGCCATAAAGAAGCATTGTAAACCATGCTTAGAATGGGGATAATGTCCTCTCCTTCATTTAGTATTTGTCAAAAGGCTGGCTGCACATTCTGAACCAGTTGAGACGGAGTAATTGCAGACTGGCTGACGGGTAATTCAAACGGGAGGAATTAAAACATCAGAGAGTGATTTCTCCCTTGCCACAAGATATATTTAACTCCGGATCTCTCGCTTGTTTTTGCATTTAATGTAATGCATCTGTATGGGATTGATGTAATAGTTTTATAGAGGGCAATTTACTATCTTTTGCAATATCACTAGTAATGGGCAAGACACACCATGCCCTTCGTCGGTGGGAAATAGACTCAGTTGGATGTAGAGCTGGGACGAGCACCCACATTATGTTCACGGGCTGATGTTTCACCATTGCGTTGCTTGATGGCCAGGGTACAAGTTTCGAATGCGAGAGCCTTGTCCTGTGTTACTGTGTCTTGTTAGACGTGTCAATCCCTCTCAATGATCTCCTGCCCTTGTCCTGTTTCATGCCTGTTCAACGCACTCGGTGTTGCGAGCTACCAATAGGGCTCTCAACCTATCAAAGTGATCATGTTTATACAATGAGACGCTCACTCAACACACTACTCAGCACCAAGATTACTCTGAATATTTGTATCCACACACAAACTCAGAGAGAATACTCACACAGCAGCCAGTGAGCTGTCTCTCCTTGGCTTTCTCTTTTTGTGAGCATCGCTAAAGTCCAGAGCAGCCTTGTCCATTCCCAGCAGCTCACTGATGCGGTCGTGGCCGTAGAACTCCCCATATTTATCCATCACCTGAAGAAGAGCAGCATTTCTTGAAGAAAGTGGAACAACATCTCAAATAGAAAAATGTTATTTGAAATTAAACATTCGCTGTGCAGTACATCCACTGGGAGCTACAAGCTCAGTTAACAGGAGGTTTAACCAATTTAACCCTTTCCAAAACTATAGGAGAAATGTGGCTTCTTTGATACTGATGTTCATTATAATACCTAAAAGTCTCCCAAAGTGTCTATACAGCTGTATCAAGATTGTGATGACATTACATTTCAACCTGTAATAGTCACTGAGTCAACTTTATATACATAACTGTATAGGCAGAGAAAATAACTGGGAAGACAGATAGAGTGTGTGTGTGTGGTGGTTGGTGGAGGGTAAAAAGAAGCATGTCTGTGTGAAAGCTAAATTCAAATAAAATCCCAAATAAGATGTTGTGCTCTAATGTGACATCTAGTTGCAGTAAGTTCCTTATAAATAATCTTCTAAGAATTAAATTGTCTCAACCACAAATTGAAACAATTCAATAACAAACAACAATAACGATATATTGTTTGCTCAGTCATTAGAAATAATTAAACCAAAAATGCCCTTCACACCCAAATCTATCGATCTATATGATTTAAGTGAATTTGTTCCTCACACTTCTGTTTATTGATGAATATTTTATTTCGCATTCACTGGAAGACCTGGCTCCAGGAAGTGAGAATGTCATAATGATGATGTCATCCATAGCAAAAACATTCTTTAGTAAAAGTTGCTCTCTGTAGCTTTATCAATACTGTAGCTCTTAAAGGGAAACTCTTAGTTAAGAAGGTTAAGTTCCATTTAGGAGGACTTGTAGTGGTAAGATAAGATCATTTGTGAATTGAGCCCATCGGCACATAAAAGATGGACATTGCATCTCTACTTCCTCCCACTGTACAAAAATGAACCTCCTTTTTAAAGCTTTAAATAACTAAATAAAACAGAACTTATTAGACAAATTAACACTTGAACATACATCAGCGACATTAGAACTACCTAAAATGACCTAAAAATGTATTTGACGTGTGATTAGATTTTTTTAGTTTGGCCCAAGTCCCATCTGCTGACATGTCCGCCACCAGAGGGCAATCGTGATGTTTTGGCTTCACTTTTGGAGAGCTGTCATCCAGATGTTGTTCATCTTATACATGTCAATGATACAGTCCCAGAACTACAAAATGCCTACCTTCCTCTTCACAAACTTATCCCAGTAGTTGTTGGGGAAAGATCTGAAAATCAGTGGAAGAAAGGCTCATGAGTCATATCATCTATAAGGTGTATTATCAGTGTATTACCTGTTAAAACCTGCAACAAGAAACCCATTCAGGGGTTCATTGTCTCAGGATTTGTAATGAGCAGACTAAAACATGGTAACATGCTAAAACATGGTCAAAATAAAGTAAAGTACTGCCCTTGTCACTGCTGAGTCTACTGTTGTGGAGGGCTGTGAACATATGCTTCACTTTCAGCTTCACCGCAAGGTTGCATTATGCCCACGGTATCCCCCTATTCAACCAGTAAGAGGTTCTAGTGCAGTGCAAAGAATAAGGACTCTCTCCACCTACAGAAATGCACAATTTTCATTGAAATGCACAAGATACCTCTAGCAGGAATCAACTCCTGGGGTGCCCCACCCATGCACCTTTGCTAATTACATTAAGCTCTCTCAACTACATCTTCCTCTGGAGATGGTTCTTCACTCATCTCCTTGTCATTGGCACTGGATGTTACATAACAACAACTACAATCTCATATACAGTACACAGTCTTGCACACAAAGGGTCTACTCACTGTGTGTTGATTACTAGTCTGTCCCATTGTCCTTTGATGTCATCCTCAGATGGTTGTTCTGTGATGTAAAGGCCATCAAATTCCAGCTTCCTGGCCACCTCTTTCTCACGCTTAAAGATAACTAGTGGCACCTACATATGTGTACACACAAACACAGAGGAGTGATACTTAATTTTAGAAAATTAAAATTCTTAGATTGGAAATATTTGAAATGTTTTAAAGGTCCAGTGTGTAACATTAAAGGACAATTCCGGCGC